TACAGGTTAACTAATTAATAATTAATTAATTAATTAATTTAATATTTAATATAATAGATTTTTATTCTTATTACTTTATTAGTATTTTGATAAACCATCGTCGTAAACCGAATTTTAATTTCCTGTGGGTTCGTAATCATAAATTGAAATTTAATTCCTGAAAATTTACTTTAAATTATACAATACCATACCGAAAGGACTAAACTACATTTACGGCACTTAAATGTTATATTTCTCACAATTATAATAGAAAATTTACATTAGTCGTAACAATGTAAACTGCAAAGCGGGCGGTCGTAAAACGAAGATTGTAGGCAGTCAGGCGTCACGATGCTACAACACACCCATTGGGCATGCTCTTTTATTGTCTTAAAAAAAGTAAAATAGGACAAAATTCCCACTTTTTACCATTTTACAGTAAACACAATGAATAATAATATTTATCTTTTTATTCGAGTATTCGTTTCAAAGTTTTTATTTATTTTGTTTTCTTGATCAGTTAAACAAAACCGAATATTTTAAAACTAATTGTTAGTTAAACAGTAATATAAACAAAACTGAAAACATTCGCACTTTATGCTTTTAAGGAATAATTTATTTTAAACAGTCAAAAAATAATAATTTTATGTTTATTTGCCAATATCGTTCCCTCGATAAAGAAAAAGAAAATTAATATTAATCATAATTAAACGTTAAACTTTTAAAGATTTTTTCCTAAATTATGAATTTTTAATAATTAATTTAACAGTTTATCAAAGAAATTTATAAAGTACAATTGATTAAAATAAAAACAAAAACACTTTAGTTTATTTAAATTCGGTTTTATAAAATTCAATTTAGATGATAGAATTGTACTTTTTTAGTCACAAAATTACAAGATAATATTATTCTAAAAATATGACGTTATATTTATGATGACATTTTAAAACTATATCGATATAACAACTAATTTATTTTATTTCTGGATAACACGATGCGCTTCGACGAAAATAAATTCATTAATTCTAAGGATAATTTCCGGTGAAAATCCGGTACTACCTACAGAAATTATAATACGTCATCCCTAATCACGTGTTTCTTGGGAAGTTTAAATAATAAAATATAAATATAGATGAATTGTAAGATTACAATATTTTTCGCGCTCCGCTTATTAAATTTTTTTTTAATGCATATATTCTCATATGTGAGGTAATCAAAAACTGGTTTAATGTTTACATGCTCAAGGGAGGAACTTCAGGTGTGACATCAGTTTTTCTTCGAACAAAATATCCTTTAGCGAATGACGTCATTGTTGAAGCAGCCAATAGAATTAATTTCTTAGAAAAAGTTTCAAACCACAATTCAGAAAATAGCATTTGATTTAAAATACATGTGTACATAGCAAAAACGTTTTTTTTCTCATTGTTTTTGAATTTACTAAGCCATTCAAATGCATTTAGATTATTTAAATAACTTTGGATCATTTTCTCGTAAGTAGATAAATATTTAATTAATAAATACAGTAGTTATAATTGATTANGTGTTGCCTGTAAAGTAGTGTTTTCCAACAATATAAATGACACGCTCCTTCACAACACATTATTTTAAGAACACACACAAAAAAAAAAAAAAAAAAGTCGGAATAGGAGGCATATTGGGTAATCATATAAAGTAGCGAATTCGGATATATGTAATAACATGCATTAATTATATAAACAATAAGAACACACAAAAAAAAAGAAAAAAAAAAAGGAAATAGGAGGCATATTGGGTAATCATATAAAGTAGCGAATTCGGATATTTTTAATACCTTAATTTGACATCCGCTGAACCTTTTGTGAAAGAAACACTCATTATATTGCATTGTGTAACCCAATTGACATTATTATTTATAGGTAATTTAATCTCTTCGCTCAGAACAATGGAATTTTAAAGGTCTCTGGACGTATTTCAATTAAAAAACAAAAATTCTAAAACAATCTGAACATATGTCTAATTATTATATCAATGATTTTATATCGCAATGAAATTACAATTACTATATATTTTATAAATAATTAATATTGTTTAGTAAAATGTATTTTTTATTTATATATTTTATAATGGTAAACAATTTAATGTAAAATTAATTTAAGTTATAATCTAATTTAAGATTTTCGCCCACACAAATTGTAAGTTTTCTCTTGACCTCGATGAATGAATCATTGATTCATTGATAAAATGTTTGCAAGTTTTTCGTTTTAACTTAATTGGTCATCGGAAATCCTTCAAAAGTCATTTACCATTAATCGTATTTTAGTTTAATCTCAAACTGTAATTCAAATTGTCCTTTCGATAATGTTTTTGATATAATGTTAGAAAAATGTAAACATTAAATGGGTAAAATATTACTAAGTTCATGATTTTATAATTTAGTACTATTATCCCTTTTAAGGGAATAACATTCAAAAATTAATACCTTATTTAATACTCATTCTAATTTCCATTTTTAATATAGTAAAACCGGAGTTTAATCTGTGATTTGAATTTTAATTAGAGTTTATTTTATATTAGTTTATTATATATAAAGATGTACGTAATTTTCAACTAAAGTTAAAAATTATTCTCTATAGTTAATAGCTATAAATATTTATTATTTATATTATAAAATATTAAAACTAAATTAACTATACAAAACAATATATATATTTTCATAAACCTTTTAATGGAATGAGCTTTTTTGTATTAATTATATAATGATTAAGATATAAAACGAATGAAATAGGTGAAACAATGTGATCTATGGAAGCAATAAGGTATTTGTAGTCGTTATAAATTATTCTACTGAATCAATCGAATATTATTTACTATTTTAAAAGTAATATTTAGTATACATTACGATAAAATAATTTCTTATTCATTGATTAAAATAAAAGTTTCAAATATTCTTTAACGGAATGATGAATACGCATTCCTATAATTATTTTAAAAAAATTACGAAATAATTTTGACAAATTATTATGATTAAGAAGAAAAATATATTGACGCAGTAGAGGTATAATATAAATATCATAAAGAATGATGCAAGTTAAACATTCCTAAATACGACTGTAGATAAAAAATATTCTGTAGCCTACATTTCAAATTTTTAGTTGTAAATTATAGGCCTAATAGCCTATCTGTTAAAATTTTCAGACCAATATTATTTTTCTGACATTTTTTCTATTTCTATTCTTTGTTTATTTCTTTTTTAAGACGGATTTACATTAAACATTCATATGACATAAGTTAAAATTATCTTTGTCAAAGTTAGGTTTGCGATCCTTATCTTAGGATTTAGACATTTCCATAGATTTTAATTTACACTTGTTAGCTATTTTATAATATAAATAATTTAAATTATATTTATGCTTTCTATAAATTGAATTTTGTGTTCTTCATCCTAAACTGTCAATGATCGACATCAAAATTTTGAAAATTAATAAACAAAACTCTTCGAAAGCAATGTTATCATACTCTCAACAATGTAATTTTTGATCTAATTTCAATGTTTTTTTTTATAAATTTTAAAAAATCAAATCTGAAAAATCACAAGGAGCAGAATTTGATTGATTAGTTTTATGGAGCAAGAACAACAGACTAAGGCCAGGCTGCTATAAATAGTGTAAAATAAAAAATAGTAAGTTATATAATTAAAATGTAAACAGAAAAATAATTCAATGAAAAATAAATTTAATATCTAGGTTAGTATATATAAAATTTTTACTTTAATATAGTGTTTCTGATTAATTAAATGAAATATTAATAAGACCATTTTTTAAGCTGGTTAGCAAAATTTTATTATTTTTAAGATAATGGTGTCTAAATAAAAAGTTAATTAGTTTCTAGAAACATTTGTATTAATTTATGTAATCAATATTTTATGTGAAATTTTGTAATTTATTATATAACTTATATATATATATATTATAAATATTACGTTTATATATTCATTTACATGTTAAATTAAAATAATACAAGTACCATTTACAAGTATGGCATGTTTAAATGAACATTTTACATGTCATTTAAACATGAATTTAGAGATAAAAAATAAACAATATGCATGTAAACAATGCTTATAAGATCTTTAAGATTATCTTTTTCGCTCTTTTCCTTTAAATATATACATACAGAAGCAACCCTACATATAGGCGAAAAAGGCGACACCTAGGGTCTCACGCTTTCAGGGATCTCGCAAATTTAGTAGTATATTTTTATTATTTAAATCATCAAATTGGTAATTATTGAAAATATAATTGTGCAGATGCAACTACCGTATACATAGGCCTATATATATATCTACACGTGCACTACACATATCTATAAGTTATAAAAAGATTAAGCATTTTTATTTCAGTAAATAAGTTTCCTCTAAAATAAGCTCATGCTTACCCTTAGATACTAAGCTTTCTTTCGGCACTATAATTTCAGTACTAAGTTTAGATAAACGATGATTGAAATTGATAAATCTGAAGAATCTAGAGAATTAAACAAATACTGAGGACGAAGATAAAGCGAAGAATAATATCGAAGTGTTGTAATGCGACAATGAAGAAATCGTTGAATGTTAGAATTCTTCTGATAATTCCTTTGATAATAAATGTGTATTTTTTAAATAAATAAGTTTTCAAAAGTAATTCTGAATTTAATAGTTGGAAACAGAAGTCATTTAGCTTTTGAAATTAAATCCGGGACTTATTTAAGGAAATATCCGTTATGCATGTAATAAAACAACATTAATTTTGAAGATTAGCATTGCCCTAACTTTTGATCTAGGCCAAATTGCACATAAATCGTAGATAGGTGGGCCACAGACATTTTTATATAACTTATTTCAAACATATGAAACATTTTTTATAGGATGTAATATACTGTACAGTACAGTACAGTACATTTCATTCGATATTTGCAATGGCGTATTGGAGCTGAAATGTGTCGAAATCGTTCGTTACTTTTTTCCAGAGCCGGAACGCGTTCCGGAAGATTTTAATTCGTAAGCACAAAATATAAAATTGTTAATATAGACATAAATGAACAAACTTCCGATATCTCATAAAAAAATCTAGCGGTGAGTTGCGTAACTTTCTCGGAAATAAAGTTAAAATAGCGTATGATGTTATCTTTTACTCGATTTTATTAAAAAATATTTTATATTTTTAATCATTATAAAATGGCAAAAAGCTTGATTTTAAGGTTAGAGATGAGTTTTATAATAAAAAAAAATTGTAAATGCTAATAAGAAATAAAATCATCATTAATTCCGATTTCACTGGAGATATGAAATATGACCATCCTCTATCTCCCCATCTCTTCGACCATTAACCACCAAAATTTGATTGCATCAATCTTCCTAATACACCAATTCCTAATTTACTAATTCAGAATCTTTTAAAGAAAATTTAACAGTCAGTAGCATACTGTAATTTTAAGATCTATACCAGGGGTGGGCAAGCAAAAGTTCAGTGGGAGCCGAAATGTAGGTTTTGCAAAATGAATGGGAGCCGCAGTTCTGTACTTTTTTATTCTGTACCGCAGTTCTGTACTGCAATTTTATTATATAATGTAAATATAATATAAAACAAATATTGAATTTTTTAATAAACATATTTTCACAAAACTGTGGAAATAAAATTGTAAAAAAATAATAAAAAGCAGAAATTAACACTTTCAGCAAGAGCCGCATGTAACTCAAAAAGAGCCCAATTGCCCATGTCTGATCTATACAAAAAATTTTCATCGGAGATAAATGAATTTTTTATAACGTATAGAAAAACTATTTAATATTCCTTAGTCGATATTAATAAATATCTAATTTTTAAAAATATCCAAACAGTACGAGACCCCTTAGGTTTCTGGAGCTCCCGCATTGCGGGGTTTTGTGGAACCTATTTACGTAAAAAAAAAAACTGTACTGGNATTAACTATACAAAACAATATATATATTTTCATAAACCTTTTAATGGAATGAGCTTTTTTGTATTAATTATATAATGATTAAGATATAAAACGAATGAAATAGGTGAAACAATGTGATCTATGGAAGCAATAAGGTATTTGTAGTCGTTATAAATTATTCTACTGAATCAATCGAATATTATTTACTATTTTAAAAGTAATATTTAGTATACATTACGATAAAATAATTTCTTATTCATTGATTAAAATAAAAGTTTCAAATATTCTTTAACGGAATGATGAATACGCATTCCTATAATTATTTTAAAAAAATTACGAAATAATTTTGACAAATTATTATGATTAAGAAGAAAAATATATTGACGCAGTAGAGGTATAATATAAATATCATAAAGAATGATGCAAGTTAAACATTCCTAAATACGACTGTAGATAAAAAATATTCTGTAGCCTACATTTCAAATTTTTAGTTGTAAATTATAGGCCTAATAGCCTATCTGTTAAAATTTTCAGACCAATATTATTTTTCTGACATTTTTTCTATTTCTATTCTTTGTTTATTTCTTTTTTAAGACGGATTTACATTAAACATTCATATGACATAAGTTAAAATTATCTTTGTCAAAGTTAGGTTTGCGATCCTTATCTTAGGATTTAGACATTTCCATAGATTTTAATTTACACTTGTTAGCTATTTTATAATATAAATAATTTAAATTATATTTATATCATAACATGCCAGATAATTCCAATAAAATAAATTTTCTGTAACTGTGAAATATGATTGATTAAAAATACTCACTTTTGATTGTTGATGTTTAGAAGTTTTATTTTCTTTAACTATGTTGCAATATATGAATCAAATNGAGTTAAGTTATTAACTTATTATGTTAGGATGTACAGTACTGTACAAATAACACATATTCACACGTCTTTCTCTAAACTAGCATAATTATCATATTATTATATTTTGTGGCTGAAAATTAATTAACCATTTTAAAATGAGCCTTATATTTAAATTAGTTAAACAAGGCTCATTTGTTTACTTTTATATTTACAGAATTACGTATTGAGGCGGAGCATTAGCGAAGCCTTGTCTATGATCATGGCTTATAGAATTGTGTTCATTCTCAAAATCTGTTCGATCGGTTTTGATTAAGCTTTGTTACTTTCTATTAATTGAGACGAGGAATAAAAAATGAAATAAAAAATGGGGACCATGACTTCGTTTTCGAGATTAAGCGAGACGAGCGAGCGCGACAAAGCGATATAACACTAATCACGGTCGCTAGCACTTCCATGGGCTTCGCTATAGAGTCGAGTTCATTTTCGAAATTTAATGAGCCGATTTCGATTAAACTTTGCCATTTTCTATTAATTTCAATGAGGAATCCAGAAATGTAATCAGTGTCCATTTAATTGTAAAAATAGGAATTGAGGAGTTTTCGATATTCAGAGGGGTTAAACTGACAATGTCCGTGCTTTCTGATGCGACTGAGTCAGTCTAACGGAATTCAGGCTTAGGGTTAAAAAATAAAAACATCTTTGCGTGCGCCTAACGGAAAATAGGAGCTAGAAACAAACAAAACACAAGAACAATCAATGAAGCAATCAATGAGGATTGCTTTGTTCTTGGATAGCCTCTCCGCGTCGGCAGATACTGTACAAGGATCGTCTCTTTTGTGGTGGCAGGTGCAGGGATCGCTTTTTTATTTCCGGCTCTCCTCAATTCTATCGCGATACGACAAAGTCGCGTGATGTCCTAGTAATTTATTACAAAGATATATATTTTATATTTGCCTGATTTGTTTTCTTTAATGTTAAGCATCATCTCAATAAATTTATTATTTAAATCATTAGAATAGGAGAAAAATTTATTTTTTTAATATTTAAATTTGAATATATTTTATTTTCTAATTTTATTTTCGAATATTTAAATTTGAAGCGTTTCGAAAGAAGATCGGTTCTTTAAATAGGAACAAAGAAACCGATATAAATATAGAAGCAATCGACTGTGCTAATCACGAAGACATAGTGAGCGAAATTATAAGACAAGAGCCAGAACGGGGGCATTGGTCTGGAAGATTCGACTTTCTATTAGCATGTTTAGGCACTGCTGTTGGATTAGGAAATGTATGGAGATTTCCATTCTTATGCTACAGTAACGGAGGAGGTAAAACAAAATAGTTCTTTTTTAATGTTTTAAATATAAAAGTTGAAGCAGCCTATTTCAAATTTATATATATTTTTTAAATATTTAGGCGCCTTTCTAATTCCTTATGTTATCATGACGTTCGTAATTGGAATGCCTGTATTTCTAGTGGAACTGACATTAGGCCAGTTCAGTGCAATAGGCCCTCTAAAAATTTTCAAATATTTATCCCCGGCATTTAAAGGTCAGTATATATTCGAATATTTTAAATATTTCATAGAAAAATAAATTTTAATAATAATTATTTGAAANAAATAATACAAGTACCATTTACAAGTATGGCATGTTTAAATGAACATTTTACATGTCATTTAAACATGAATTTAGAGATAAAAAATAAACAATATGCATGTAAACAATGCTTATAAGATCTTTAAGATTATCTTTTTCGCTCTTTTCCTTTAAATATATACATACAGAAGCAACCCTACATATAGGCGAAAAAGGCGACACCTAGGGTCTCACGCTTTCAGGGATCTCGCAAATTTAGTAGTATATTTTTATTATTTAAATCATCAAATTGGTAATTATTGAAAATATAATTGTGCAGATGCAACTACCGTATACATAGGCCTATATATATATCTACACGTGCACTACACATATCTATAAGTTATAAAAAGATTAAGCATTTTTATTTCAGTAAATAAGTTTCCTCTAAAATAAGCTCATGCTTACCCTTAGATACTAAGCTTTCTTTCGGCACTATAATTTCAGTACTAAGTTTAGATAAACGATGATTGAAATTGATAAATCTGAAGAATCTAGAGAATTAAACAAATACTGAGGACGAAGATAAAGCGAAGAATAATATCGAAGTGTTGTAATGCGACAATGAAGAAATCGTTGAATGTTAGAATTCTTCTGATAATTCCTTTGATAATAAATGTGTATTTTTTAAATAAATAAGTTTTCAAAAGTAATTCTGAATTTAATAGTTGGAAACAGAAGTCATTTAGCTTTTGAAATTAAATCCGGGACTTATTTAAGGAAATATCCGTTATGCATGTAATAAAACAACATTAATTTTGAAGATTAGCATTGCCCTAACTTTTGATCTAGGCCAAATTGCACATAAATCGTAGATAGGTGGGCCACAGACATTTTTATATAACTTATTTCAAACATATGAAACATTTTTTATAGGATGTAATATACTGTACAGTACAGTACAGTACATTTCATTCGATATTTGCAATGGCGTATTGGAGCTGAAATGTGTCGAAATCGTTCGTTACTTTTTTCCAGAGCCGGAACGCGTTCCGGAAGATTTTAATTCGTAAGCACAAAATATAAAATTGTTAATATAGACATAAATGAACAAACTTCCGATATCTCATAAAAAAATCTAGCGGTGAGTTGCGTAACTTTCTCGGAAATAAAGTTAAAATAGCGTATGATGTTATCTTTTACTCGATTTTATTAAAAAATATTTTATATTTTTAATCATTATAAAATGGCAAAAAGCTTGATTTTAAGGTTAGAGATGAGTTTTATAATAAAAAAAAAATTGTAAATGCTAATAAGAAATAAAATCATCATTAATTCCGATTTCACTGGAGATATGAAATATGACCATCCTCTATCTCCCCATCTCTTCGACCATTAACCACCAAAATTTGATTGCATCAATCTTCCTAATACACCAATTCCTAATTTACTAATTCAGAATCTTTTAAAGAAAATTTAACAGTCAGTAGCATACTGTAATTTTAAGATCTATACCAGGGGTGGGCAAGCAAAAGTTCAGTGGGAGCCGAAATGTAGGTTTTGCAAAATGAATGGGAGCCGCAGTTCTGTACTTTTTTATTCTGTACCGCAGTTCTGTACTGCAATTTTATTATATAATGTAAATATAATATAAAACAAATATTGAATTTTTTAATAAACATATTTTCACAAAACTGTGGAAATAAAATTGTAAAAAAATAATAAAAAGCAGAAATTAACACTTTCAGCAAGAGCCGCATGTAACTCAAAAAGAGCCCAATTGCCCATGTCTGATCTATACAAAAAATTTTCATCGGAGATAAATGAATTTTTTATAACGTATAGAAAAACTATTTAATATTCCTTAGTCGATATTAATAAATATCTAATTTTTAAAAATATCCAAACAGTACGAGACCCCTTAGGTTTCTGGAGCTCCCGCATTGCGGGGTTTTGTGGAACCTATTTACGTAAAAAAAAAAACTGTACTGGCACTGTACAGTACAGTACGTACTGTACTGTTACATATTGACAATAGATGGTAGTAATGTATACACGCGACGATATTGTCACGGATTGATAACAACGAGTAACAGTGTTATTAATTAAAGATAATTGTGAAATAGTTTGTTGTCTAATGCTTCATTTAAATTTTTTAATATTTGGGGGGCGACGAAAAAAATGTGACTGGAAAACGGGTTCTCGACATCATAAAGTTCGGAAAACGTTGATATAGATGGCATTAGGCTACATAGTTCAAATTGTTATTCCCAGGAACGTAATCGCAATTTGTGATACTGAGCATATGGAAAATGATGGAGGTTCAACGATGATTTCTCAAAAGAAAAATTTGCTCATAAAAGCAGATATTAGAAAGTTCAATACTGATAAAATTAGATAAAATACAAAAAATAAGGTAGAACCCGATTATTCGAGGTAATATGGACCATTGCTACCTCGGATAATCGAAAACTCAGATAAAAAAATTACAAATAAAAACGATTTGTATGATATCACTTTTAAGTTCTCTTTTTAAGCTTATATCAATATCTTAGTGAATTTTATCATATATTGATAAAATTCACTAATATAATGTAGTATAATGTTTATAATGATAAAGCCTAATTAATTTTGTAGCCTAATGTCATCCATAGCGAAAAATCCAATTAGGAACATTTAGTTCAATAGTTATCGGTACTTTTGGCACAAAAAATTGGGTGTAGTTATGATACCTTGTTTACAATTCACTATAATGAAAACGGGGTTCCATAATACCACCTTCTTCTCTATTATTATAGAATAACAGTTTTTGCATCATTTATTATATAAAGCTAATGCGTACTGTACAATCAGAACGAAAATATGTAGACTATTATTGTAGTTACATTTTAATGTGATTTGTCTTATAATGAAGCTAAAGGATAAAAGGTAACAGAAACAAATTATTTTGTAATAATACTACAGTTTAAAACTTTCTTCTATAAGGCCCGTCAGCGGCCAAGCGGTCTTTGTTCCCTGAACACTAAGAGTTCGATCCTGGGTTCGCGCCTCGATTGGACGGGATGGCTTTCCGGGTTTTCTCCACGTCTGTAACGCCTAAATAGGGGCCAGTTTCCCTTAAAAAAGGCATCCCCTATGTAGATCGTCCAAGTGTTGTGTTGCCATAACTTAAAACAAAAAACTTTTATGAAAAGTGGTATATTTGTTAGGCTTAAACACCGAAAACGCTCACTGAGCGAAAAAATCGACCACAACGCATTCTGACTTATCAGAATTTCGTGTCGTGGCACTTTCAAAACTGTGCACAACGCGTTTTTGTATTCAATAAGACCACAAAACAAGATTCGTGTCGAGATTCTTTTAGTAATCAACCAAAACGCGATCTAACAATGTGGAAATGCTACGTGTTGTGGACGCTTATTAATGCAGCCATGACGCGATGTGATAAAAATATCTGCGCAAAAAAAAAGTATAAAAAATTTATAAACAAAACTATTAACAGCAAACTGTACTGTCTTCGTGACTGTGAAGAAAATGAAGAGTTGCGCATATTATACATTGGTTCTTTTAATGATATAACGTTTTGTGATAGGAAATTTTACTTGAGTATTTTTCTAATAATAAACATTGTTCAGAATGGTCCTTTAGTGGAAATTAGATTTAAATTATTTTTATTATTTTTCAAGAACTATTGTAACATTTGGAATTGCACTTTATGTTTTTGGAGACATGTGCACTTTTTGTTAATGAAGTATCTTTTACATTCGCAGCTTATATGTTGCTTGCCTCCACATGACAACATAGAGGCCGAACGAAGAGTTAGCGAAGTCGAGAGCACATCTTGCGGTTCAATAAAGTTACTATCAGCAACTATAAATTTATTGCAAAAATAAACGTCAGGGAATGCAATACTATCTCCAATAACAAGTTCAGAAAATTTTGAATAAGAAAATGAAATCATTTCTTGTGTTTGTTCTTCTTGACCAAGTTTAGCACACACTCTCTCAACTCTAACGTTGCTCTTCGTTATACTGTATAATTCTCAATATAGACTAGAATTTGATTTTATTCTAAATAATAAAAAAATTTGTTACTTATTTTTGCACAGATATTTTTATTACATTGCGTCGTGGCTATATTAATAGGCGTCCACAACGCGTGTAGCATTTCCACATTGTTAGATCGCGTTTTGGTTGATTACTAAAAGACTCGACACGAATTTCGTTTTGTGGTCTTATTGAATACTTTTCCAAAACCCGTTGTGCGTATTTTTGAAAGTGCTACCACGACACGAAATTTGCGTTGTTGCTGGATCTGAGAAATCAGAATGCATTGTGGTAGATTTTTTCGCTCAA